AAAAAAAAAAAAAAAAAGAAGAAGAAGAAAAAGAAAAAGATCCTATGAATAAAGTTGTCACTTTTTGTCAACCTTCAAAATTATTTGAGGGCTGTCAAAATTAAAAACTTGGGGCATGCTTTCTGCTATAATATACTAACCCTGAATTTTTTTTCCAGACATTTGGAGAATAGTCAGAAATAGCACCTGAGCATATCAGCAAGTATTCCCCATTTAAGAGAAAAGAGAAACTTTATCTCTTGAATTATGATATATTATTTTTGCCATGAAATCCTGAACAAAGCAGCAAATATTTTCTCAGATAAAACAGGGAAGCTGGTTGAAGTAAATCAGCATAGAATTTCTGGGTGGTGCCTGTGGCTCAAAGGAGTAGGGCACCTGCCCCATATGCTGGAGGTGGTGAGTTCAAACCCAGCCCCAGCCAAAAAAAAAAAAAAAAGAATTTCTATGGTATGCAAAGGAATAAAGCAAGCTCTGCACCACCAGCAGCAATTGTCTCACAGGGCAATGGCAAGCTCTCTCAAGTAGGTAGAAATCGTGCACTTCCTCTAAGTGTGATATGCTAAAGATCATCTCATAATATACAGTAACAGACCCAGTTCAGTCTTATCCAGTGGACAGATGTGCGATGGTTTCACTGAAGTTATGGACAATATGGTGCTCTCCAACACCATCATGAAATCTTGTGCTAGAAGGACCTTGAGGTCCCTGAGGGTGCTCTGCACTGGGCAGGTTCACCTGGTTAAGAGTCCCACAGGCAGAGAATTTCTTGAGCTCAGGAGTTCGGGACCAGCCTGAGCAAGAGCAAGACCCTGCTCTTTTATTTTTCTATATATAAAAAAAAAGCACGGCACTTGTTGCTCAAAGGAGTAGGGCGCTGGCCCCATATGCCAGAGGTGGTGGGTTCAAATCCAGCCCCAGCCAAAAACTGCAAAAAAAAAAAAATTAGCAGGGCATCATGGTGGGCACATGTAGTCCAAGCTACTTGGGAGGCTAAGGCAAGAGGATTGCTTGAATCCAGGAGTTTGAGGTTGCTGGGAGGTAGGCAGACCCCACAGCACTCTAGCCCAACAACAGAGACTCTATCCCCCAAAACAAACACACAGTCCCACAGGCAGGCAGCATGATCAGAAAGGAGAGCACAGTGTGGAGTCCACCAGACTTGGCATCCTTTGTCATGCAGGTACTGATTAAGAAGTCTGTCTCAGTCTGTTAAGAGAATTCAGTGAGGTAATGGTGTGGTTGGTCCATGTAAGTTCTTAATATGTGCGCACTCCTGATGTTCCCATTTCTGTTCAACTGAATTTCACAACTTGCAATTTCTCTTAATAAATGATATTTCTATCCTGTGGGCTACAAAAACTCATCCAAATAGAGGATGGCAAGAATCTTGTCGACTTAAAGAGATTTTCCTTAATCACTCTTCTTAGAACTCAGCCATCCTAACCTCCTTCATCTTTGGTCATTCTGAACCAATAAAAAGGAGTGGGCACTACAGCTTGGCTGGCTGACTCTTCAGGCCTCAATCTGCTCATCAGGAAAACCAAAGAGAAAATCCTTGTCTCTATCATCAGGGTATGTGTGATGCCCGAGAGTATCAAAGTAAAGAAATACAAGACTAGGGTGGTTTTTGTTTTTCACTTTTATTCGAATAAATACAATACTTATATAAATTTTCCCATCATATCTCCTTTGCAGGATGATGTGCTTAGATGTGCTTAGATTTTAAGACATGCAGTGCTGTGGTCACATCATTGACTGTTCTCTAATTTTAAACAAGTATTTCAGATGCACAGGCAAACACCTGCCTTGTCACAAGAATTGCGGTATTATTTGCCAATGCGAGGCTGACAGAGAACAAACTTTTGGGGGGGGGTGGTAAAAACCCTATTTTTATAATGTACCTTTGGGTAAAATACAATTGTTCCTTCCTTCCTTCCCAGGCCAGGCACTTGAAAATAAGACATCTCAGGAGTGGGCAACTGATTTCATTAACATTCATGAGATTTGATTGCCCAAGAAAATTTAAACAATGTGGGAAAACACTGCATTTAGTGTTTGCTATTAGAGTGAGTCAGACTGACAATGACTAAAATATTTTTGATGTACTCGATCTTAGTTCAGAAATACAGGAGTTGGAGAAACTTTATTTATTCTAAATTAGTCTTGTTTCCCCTGAAATTCCATCTTTCAAATTAAGTAGTAGCTACTTCAGTTTGAAATTGGTCTAAATTACTATTTTCTTTACTGGGAATAACTACTATCCTACCTGCGACATGGCCTCTTGTAAAATCACATATTAATGTAAATAAAAGTCATGGCTTCAAATTGCTGATTGACAGCTTGGTGTACAAAGACTAGTTGAGGCAGACACCCTTTCTTATCCGAAGCCAGTTAGGGTGATGCATAGGGTCAAATTCAGTTTAAAAATCTTAATTCTCATGGTAAAAAAAGCAGCAAAAGGTAGAGCCCTGAGGCAAGTGGGTCTATGGGGTGGCAGATCTGGGAGTATGGGTCCAGGTCCAGGCTGCTTAGGCTAATACTCCATCAGCACGAGCAGTATCCTAGCCCTGACTTCTTCCAGCTCTGAGTTGCCTCTGCAGAGTGGTGAGAGCAAGGCTGGCATAGAGCCCTGACCCCTGCAAGACTATCCCTGTGGAGTCCCTGGGAGAATAGAGGCAAATCTTGCTTCTTAGCAACTTCCCACACTGCCCGCCTCTGATCCCACTTCCTTTGTAAAGATGCTGTTTAGCTCAGCAGCAACCCAAGGGAGTGGGAATAAGGCTTGGTGTGTTGAAAACTGCTCCTGCCTCCTGTGACAGCCAAGGCTGGCAATGTTGTCTGGAAGCCTGACAAAGAGCAAGTCTACTTACTATGAGTAAAAAATCCCAACCATTTTCAGTCACTCCATTAAAGTAAAACAAAATCACTCTGAAGAAAGACACTTTGAAATCCTTGGTCACGTTTATAAAATGAAAAGAAAAAACAGATAATTTCAAACAAAGTTTTAAAAAAATCCTTAAAAAATATTGTATCAACAGCCTTCTTAGTAACAAATATAAAACAGTTTAAGACACTTGGTGACTTTTTTAGGTCATGTGTTGGGGTGATGGATACACAGTGAGGTTTTACTACTGAAATTACCTATTTAGTAAAAATTCCAGGAAGAGTTCTGTCAAAAAAATGGTTGTTTTGGAAAGATGAGTTACAACTTTCTCCAAAATATCAAAAAGAATAAGCATGTAAACACCACATACCTAAAATGTTAATACAATGATACAAGTTCAGTTAAATAAATAAAAAAAAGTGGCACCAATTTTATGGCAATTTTCCAAAACAAAAATGAAGCTCAAGGATATTTTAAAATAAATAATTCCTCTAGACAGGAATGATCATTCTCAGCACAAACTGATAGGATTTAAAATAAAGTGCTATGAGAAAAAGTAGCTCCACAAACTTCAACTTATTCACATATGAACTGGAAATTTAGGTCTGCAATTATTCATTGCAAGGAGAGTCAGCTTCACTAGAGGCCAAGCTTGGGACTATCTTTTGTCATTTTTCTTTTTTCCTCCAGCATGTGCTTAAATATTTTCTTCAGGGTGTTGTAAACTATTGGCCCATTTTCAGAATCAAAATTAACCTGGTGACAAAGAAATTTATGTTTAGGACACTATCACAAGAATTTTAACCAGTTTCTATTTGTGGAGGAAGGAAGGAGGTAGAGAAAAAAATAAGTCTCAGAAACCTAAATATATATAATTTTAAAAATACATAATAAATTGCACACATTTTAACACAATAACTACCATATGAGTTGTATTTAACTTATGCTTGTTTTGAACTCGAGGCCTCATGAACTATCTATAACCCATGCTCTTGACCTTCTCAACTAATAAAACACTGTGGCCCCAAGAAAAAATTTTTTTTCTAGTATGCCAGTCAGTGTGTTAACTGAAAGACTATACTACATATTAGAAGTGCCAATCATGTCAATATTGAACTTACAAATGAAAACTCAAAAATTAAATCTATTGCCTGGATATTTAGTATAATCACATATACCTGGTCATGAAGCAAGTTAATAGTGAGTGTGTGAAGTAAGTTTTTAATTTAGAGACTAATTGTTGATGGTATAAGGAGAAAGTCTTCCTTTGTAAAACAAAGCACATGAGCTGTTAAGTATCCTGCTAAGAGCCCTAGAGCCATTTTAGGGCAGCCAGAGCAACCTGAACAGCAAGCCTGGCTGTCTATCTGCTAGCTATGTATCCTCATTTCATACACCTGGCTACCCTGGGCCTCAATTTCCTCCTCTGCAAAACAGAGCACAATATTCTCTTCCTTAGGATTTTGTGAGTATCTATGAGGGTCTAACATAAGTTTGGCACATATAAAATCCTCAGTAAAAGGTAGTTTCCTTTCCCCTTGATGGGAGGGTACCATGTACCATATTTGGATTCTTAGCCCAAGTTTACTATACTCTGGGTTAGGAGTAACAATGGACACAGAACCAGAATAAGTACCTCTATCCCCTCCCTGTCCCAACCTCAGAATAGTAACGTGTGACTCACTGAAAAAGAATCAGGATCACGCAATCACTGCTTCTCCTCTCCTGGAATTTCTCCTTCTCTGATAAATTCTGACAAAGGGAAGATTGTTCCCATTGTAAACTATAAAAGATTTGAGATTTTCTCTATTTAGCCTGCTGGTGTCATAAGTGTTCCTTGGGTTAGAGACAGGTTAGAGACAGTTTTATCCCTCATGGCTCCATGTGCTTCATATTCACATGGGTTCCTCTTGTCTCTCAAGTACTATGGAGGCAATGTGGAGGGGCCCAGCTGGAGGATGCACAAGCAGGGGGTTTGCCTCATAGCTGAGGAGCCCCAAGTTTAGGGAATCCCAATATGTTATAAGGGAAGCAAACCTTCCAACCTTTGCTCTAAAGGGAAATATCTTGATTACCTAGGAAGGCAGAACCATGTACCTTCTGCTGTACAGGCAGAGCTACACAGACATCTGTGAAGAGCAGGTTGCCATAGAGAGCTGTCAGCACATCTTATCAGACTGTGAAGAGATATCAGACCCAAGGAGAACTGCCTCCTAACATTTTTATAGACAGATTTTATACAACTGCTTATCTAATTTTTCATTAGTATCTCCTTAGAAGGCTAACAACAGTTGCAAAGAATTCCTATTGCTTTCAGAGAGACCAACATTAAGTATATTTTGTTCTAATTCAGATATTTAATTTTATCTTAACCACCATATTGTCTATTTGCAAAAATTCCTTATTAACATTAATAATGGCCTCAAGTATTTACCTCCTTAAACATCAAACCACAACCCTTTTCACATGGAAGGTACCCTCTCAGTCTATGAAAATGTAAATATAGATGTAAATGATTATGTGACCTGGATTTGAGACTGCTGACTCTGGAAACTGTGGCGACCAGACTGAAAAGATGTCAGTTGGTTAGTGCCATAAAATCCAGACAAGGAACAGGGAAACCTGCAGGAAGGACATCACTTTGGAAAGAGTGAAGGGTAAGGAGATTGGAAAAATCTTAAAAAGGAAGAATCTTTACAACTTGGGAATGAGTACAAATAATAACTGCCATTATCATTAATGTTACCATAGATACTGTCATTCAAAAGTTGGGTTCTTTGTTTAATGACATTTTCACATCATATAGGAGAGATACCAAATAGATTAACTGACAGGGTTAGGGAAATCTTTGCTCTTGGCATGAACCTGGCTTTTTTAATTTTAGCCAGGAAAAATTGCTGTAAGCCAAAAGGATGTGCTTTTAGGAATGAAAGTTTTTTTACTCTTTCCTTAGGATTTGCCAACCAAGACACTCTACCAAATTGGCAATGTTGAATGTTTAATTCTCAGTAGATTGTTTCTTGTTCAAACCTAAGGTAAAATTTGCTCAACAAGCAAATATTCTCTGACTCCTACAAGGCACATGATTTAAAAATACGTACTCAAAACCCAATTGTTTCTCTTCTGCTTTATAAAAGCTCTTTGTTTCAATGTTCTCCTTTTAAAAACCCACAGTTCAGCTCTTCCTAATATCACTGGTTGGGAAAAAAAATTGCAGTTGGGGAGGGAAATTCTGCAACATCTTATAAGAAATGTCAATATTCTTTTGAAGGAGAAACACAGCTGAAAGTTTTATTTTAAAGGAGTATGGTGACCTCTCGATTCTAATTTATAAAGATGATGCTGATTTGTTGTGTAGAAGGGGGAAGGGGAGATTGTGACGCACCTTAGTGAAAGCTTTAATGGCATGAGCAAGAAAGGCTTCCTCCACATCCATGGGAACTGTCTGCAGGCTCACTATGCAATGTAACACGCAGAGAATAGTCTGATGTTGTCCCTGTTTTTGCAGAAATCAAAATTAAAACAGTTGTTTGAAAGATAACTCAAAAAATCTATTCAAAACAATTGTAGAATTGAGAATTAGTTTGTGACCAAATACTCATAATCTGAAATAATAAAATTTCTTCCAAGAGCTCTACCAAGTGTTTCTTGTTAGGTGTTAATATAATATGAAAAGTTTTCAGGAGATAATATCAAAGCTGGTTAGTTAGTGCACAATGTACAACTGAATCTGAAGATCAGTACAATTTTAAACCAGATGTTTCTCTTATAGTAAATAGGATTAATTTTTCCATTCGTGATTTCTGGATATAATCATTTTGATTCAGCTAGTAAAAATGTTCGCATGTCATGGTGATATGTGGACGGATCAGTCAGGCACTGCAACCCAGCCCACTGCAGATCTGCAGATGCTATGGAGGGAGGTGGTTGGATGAAAAAAGTGATAGCCCCAGCCTCTCCAGAAATAATGGAAGGAAGCTGCCTCTGAAAAGGGGGCAAAGATCCCTTAAGATTATGTCCACTGACTTGCCTCCTGGGGGCTGTCCATTTTAGCAAAGGAGAAATTCTATCACTTCGAGCAATACAAGAAGTAATGCACAGAGATACACTAATTTTACTTGTGGAAATCTAAGCTAAGAACATTATCTGAAATAGAGAAAAACCTGCAAGCACAAATTCTTATTACAATAATGCCTATAAAGTTAAGAATCTGAAACAATGTAAATGCCCTATACTTGAGGGTTGAGGTAAATTATTACATGACAGACTCAAATGATAGAAAAGTGCACGAGCTTCGTGCCAGAACAGACCAAGCATGAATCCCACTCTCACATGTGTTGCCAAACTTGGGCAAGCTGCCTCACCTTTCTTTATCTGTGAAATGGGCCTCTCTACCTCTAAGGGCTATGGAGATAAGTCATAGTGGAAATCACTTCCTGAAGGGAATGGTCCACAGCTACCTGACAAAGGTTAATTTTCTCCCTACCATCCTCTTCTGTTTCATCTCTGATTTAATTGCTGAGAAAAATGTCCTGAGGACCCCAGATATAATAATCTTTTCTCAAAAGATGTGCAATGCACAACTATGGTGTGTGTTTATGTGTATGCATGTGTCTATATGTGGATATGTTATGCTTCTGTGTATACATGTGTAAGCATGTGTTTATGTGTAGTAATAGAAAATGTTGAATGAACATATGGAAATAATGAAGAGATGCTTATGTTGTAGTATGAGCAGTATAATTATTAGATATTAATAAGGCTCAAGGCTGATTATTAGATATTAATAACATGCTTCCTAAAATAAGAACAAGCCTATTTTTAAGTGAAAATTTAGTATCTTTATATGGCTAAAAATACTAAATTTTATAAAAAGATTCATACAATTTCCAACCTAGATCCATTGTTTCTTAGTAGCTTTCCCTAGAGGCAACCACTATTACACCAGTTTCTTATTTTTCCATCTATATTACTCTATATTTTACATGTATACAAATTAAATACATATATGTGACATTCCTTTTAAAAAATAAAAATGAGTGCATATTCTAACCTACTTCATAATTTTTCCCATATGTATGTTCACAGTAAATAAGTAGAAACAAATGCCTGACAGTAATGAAGTGTTGAACTGTGGTGCATCCCCAGGTAAGAGCATCACATGACCATTACAGTCAATATTTATGAAAAGCACTATACCACTCACTGGAAAACCTATGTTATAATTTTAAGAAAAAATAAAATATTTTTAATGAAACAAAATTTTATGTTAAATGATTTTTACTAAGGTAATATATGCACTGAGAAGACTAAAAGATTTAAAAATGTTTACAGTGGTTCTCCAAGATTTATTTTTTATTTTTATGCTTATATATTTTTCTATTCTTTATTTTTATATTTTCTAGATGTTTCCACTGAGTATTAATTTCCTCTCATATTTTGAAAAAACTATTAAATTAGATAAGTATGGGATTCAGTATGAATTCACTTTTTAATAATGGATTTCTTTCATTTTTAGTGTGTGAAACTTATACTGAGGGCCTTAGTTAAAGTCCTTAACTGGTCCAACAGCAACTTTACCTTCTCTAACAAAAACAGGGCTTCTGCAGGATCTGCCTGTCTGTCAACCAACATGTCCATATCTTCTTTGGTGATTACAGGTTCCTTTAGTTGCTCGACCCAAGACCACATCAAACTGCACAGGATAAAAGGGTCCCTCTCGCCACATATTCTTTCCCAAGCTCCGTCTCGGGAATTTAGTTCTTTCTGAAAAGGAAGAGAAAGATAGATAGAGACAGGCAAGAGGGAGGGGCTCATCAACCAACAATGATGATCCTTGGGATGCCCCTGAGAGTGAAAACTCAGGCTCTAGGGTATGGATCCGGGACTCCTTGCAGTGAGACACTGGGCTAAGACATGAAACTTTTTTAAGATTCAGTTTCCCTCTGTGACACTCATCCCCATTTTCACGAGGTGTTGGGCTAAGTGGCTGAGATAAAGTCTGTTAAAGTACTGTGAAGGGGCTTAGTTAATCCAAATTCTCCTTCATTCAGAAACAACAGAAACAGTTCAGGAAGAGTGAGTCTTCCTTTTCAGGACTGGTAAACAAGACAGAAGTATTTACTGCAATAAAATAGAATGGTATATAAAAAGTATAAATAAGGGAACATTTGTAAATCAACCTAGGATTTCGGGAAAAGCTTATGAGTGAAACTTTAAAGTATACAAAGATGGTAAAGTTTAAAGTTGGTAAATGGGGTGTAAGTATTTTTTTCAAATTTCTTTTTAGAATCCAGAGTAGAACTTAAAAAATAACAAGCCATGCATCCTGAAATTTGATAGGGTGAAAATAACCTAACCTTTAGCATAAGAAGTCATGCTAAATACTCCAAATACAGGGCGATTTTGAAACTTCACCTCACAGAGAGAAATAGAGAAATGACATAATAACTTTAATTGATTTTTGACAGGGTTCACATTTATGTTTTAGTGAATCAAATATATTTTTGCAATAGCAATAAGTATAATTGCTACTATTTATTCATTTATCCCTCCAATACTTATAGCACACATACAGGGGGACAGAAACTATCACAAACAACCTATCTGACTCTCAAGGCACCCAGCAGGGAGCCCCTCACAAACAAATGTACTGGGCCCCAGGAAAGATGATTACTTGCCTAGGAGCCCAAAGCTAGAAAATAGCACAGGAGGTATCCATACCCAGTTCTGCCTTACTCCAGGGTCTGTGCTGTTTCTGCCATACCACAAGGATTCTCTGGTTCTAGGCTTCTCTTTATTATCTTATAAATAAGCTAACACCTAGCTGTTCATGTTCCTTCCCATCCCATAGATCATGTATGCAACAGATCAGTTTTTTTTATTTGATTTTACGCAGCTAATGAGAAGACAAGCTGAGCAGAACTGATACTATTCAGAAACCCTCTTCAGGGTTTCCAGTGAAGTCAGGAAAGACATGCTGGGATAACACACAGTATTAAACCTCTGAACTATACCCTGGTTCTGTCACATACAAGGGGCCTTGAGCAAGTCACCTTACCTCCATGAACCTTAGTTTCCTCCTCTGTGATACTGAATTCATAAGATTGACAAAGAAAACATAAACAGTATCATCTGGCCCCCAGAACTGGTGTGAAAATCATAATAAGGTAGGTTAAAAGGCATAGAATAGGCACAGGCAGCATTATACTATTCAAATAGTGTTCATTTTACTTTTTCTGGAATTCATTGGTTTTTTAAAATTACTATTACTAAAAGGCCTAGGATAAAATCTAGAAAGGAAATAAAAAGGCAAACTATCCCTATTAAAGATTCACCCCTAAAAATGCTTTTGGTTTTGCAATATATTGAAACAGTCTGCCCCAAACCAAATCCAGATCTCATCATCAGCACAGGCAGAGCTCTCGTGGTTACTTAGTTGAGGGCACTCGTGGTTGACCCAGGAGTAAGGATGTAAGATGTTCTACCAGATACGGAAGATCTTTTGCTTGCTAACTTTTTTTTTTTTTTTTGAGACATAGCCTCAAGCTGTCCCCCTGGGTAGAGTGCTGTAGCATCACAGCTCACAGCAACCTCCAACTCCTGGGCTCAAGCGAGTCTCCTGCCTCTGCCTCCCAAGTAGCTGGGACTACAGGCGCCCACCACAACGCCTGGCTATTTTTTGGTTGCAGCCATCATTGTTGTTTGGCGGGCCCGGGCTTTGAACCTGCCACCTTAGGTGTATGTAGCTGGCGCCTTAGCCCTTTGAGCCACAGGTGCCGAGCCGCTTGCTAACTCTTGACAAATAGTAATGCACAGGAAATATTTGCTGACTGAATGGAAGACTTATAAGATTTCACTGAGTCCGCCCTCTTTTGGGGCTATTTGCCTGTTTCTGATAACTAGGGTTTACAAGGTCTGCCTTTTCTGGACATCAGGTGCTCATTTAGGGCAAAGAGAGTGGAGCTGACTTAAGACTATCTTCCTCCTAAAAGCATAACACAAGGTCTTAAAAGTTAAAACCTCACATTCTCATTTAAGTAAAAGCCAAGAAATGTGCCCTAAAGACCTCATCTCAGATAAAACTAACGGCATGTGAGAGTCTGTGGTTCCTCCCATATGCTTTCCTAAATACCCATAGTTGCCCTATTAGAGCAAGATCAGCAAGACTGAAGGAGAGAAGCTGAGGAGACAGCATCACTCTTCTCACTATAATATTAGTGTTGACACAACTAGTGGAAACTATTGACAGAATAGTTTCCAATAACTATTGGAAGTAACTATTCTATTTGTCTGTAGGTCAGTGGTTCTCAAATTGTGTTTCCCTGTGCCAGGCCTTGGGTTAGAGATACATCAGGTCACTTCCTAATGCTGTCTGCTGTGGGCTGGTTGCCCCACAAACAGCAAGAAAGAAGGAAGCTACCAATGTCAATGCCTTATACAGGAATCTTGCTAAGTACTTTCTTGCACATGGAAATTTAAAATGAAAGCACACCAGCACCCCATGTTGTGTCTGTAATAATCACACTCACATCACAGCTGAAAAACCTGAAGCTCAAAAGTTATATATCATGCAAATCTATCTTCACATTACTATAACAAATACATGTGAGAAAATACATATTTTTGCTCTGACATAGATGAAATATTAGTACCTGCCACATTTCTACCTTCTTTTTCACTTCCTCCTTTTCTACAAACTCATTTAAATTTGCCAGGGCTTTGGCTGCCAGTATTCTCCTTGCTTCAACACTCAATTCAGACAGCAAAGCAGAGTGTGGAGTTGCTTCAGATAGATCTTTGTTGTCCTGGGTTTCATGTCCAACTGAGAACTGTGCTTTGGGAGCAGAGACACAATCCAGAGGGCTTTGGTGAGCCCTGTTGCCCTCCTTAGCAGAGCCAGGAGCCCAATCACCACGAATTTCACACTGACAGTGGCCTACTTGCTGGTGAGAAGTGTTTAGATCCTTATGAACATTTGCAAAATTGGGTGAACGTGGTTCCCCAGGGCTGTGTAGGCCTGAAACACCTTCAGACAAAGCTCCACTCTGCTGTGCTTCCTTTGGAATGTTACTCCGATGGACAAGGGGTGACCCATTATCTTTGAGTCCTTCTAAGCCTCCAAACTTAGACTGACTCCAGAAAGAAAATGTGCTGCGAACCAAAGCTTCCTTATGTAAATCTAATTCTGGAGACTGTGGGACGTAACGATGGCTTACAGGCTTCAGCTGCCTGGAGTTGTGGTAAAGCAAGACCTGGGCAGGCACCGTCTGTGGAGTCTCCCCTTGTTCCATGAGGGACTCAGCCCTCTTTAAATCAGAGTCACTGTAGCTGAGATGCCTTTTCAGACCAGTCAAGGGATGAAGGCACTCAACGTTCCGCCGCTTCCAAAGGGGGTCAAACTCTTGCTCACTGGAAAGAATCACATCTTGATTCTCAATATCTGTCACCACTGCACTGGGGTTAAATGGGTCAGATGCATCACTGTCATGCCTTAGTAACTCTTTGTCTAGCCGCATTGTGACCATCTCAGACACAGTTTTTTCAATTTCAGCAGAGAGACGAGGTCCTTCAAACACATCCTTCATTACCACTGGTCTATTCTCAGCTAAGTCCAGCAGCAATTTGCAAACGAGGTGGATAATTTTTGGCACATGTTTCAGAAGCCGTGCCTCATAGCCATGAAGTAGGTGACGCTGGCGAATGAGATACTGAGTTAAGGTGACAGCATGTGCTTTGGGATCACAGCAAGAGAATATATTGCGGAGAGGAGTTAGAAATTGAGTAAATTCCCTTACACAGAGTAGCTGTCCTCTGGTTTGTATAGAATTGGGTCGCTTTGCCCGCACAAATATAATTGCTTGGTCAGCAGTCATTCTTGTTGCAAAAACTAAGTAACAGGCTATTAAGACACCTACAAAGTGAAGAAGAAAATATTGGTAATTTTTATCTATTTATCATTCCTGATTTAAAACTTGAATATGTGTCAAGAAACCATATAAATACAGGCACATTTTAAGGACAATTATGATAACTTTGTAACCTTGTGTACAGATTGCACTCCCTTTATTGTGAGAACTTTACCTGTCTACATGGTACCCCCTCCCCGTGACTGAGTCATCTTGGTAATCCTACACTGGCACAGTATAGGTGAATATGCAGGAGGGGAGGGAGAATGAGTGAACTGAACATCTGGCCCATCAATCCTCCTCTTTCTACCCAACTGCAACAGGGAAGAAAAAAATCCTGCTTCTATTTTCCACTCTAAACAACTCTTTTGAATTTCCAAATAATCAGCCTATCTTCTTTGTGGTTGCAACCTCCCACCCTGCTATCTTTGTCATCAATTGCTGATATATTCAGGTCTGGTGGTCTTCCTGCTCAGGCGGTTTCTTCCTTGGAGATTATTTACATTCAAAGCCTATTTTCTTCCTGACAGTTCTTTCAGACTTGTATCTATGTTATTATGTATTTTTCTCCAGACCATGATAGAACTCTATTTTTCCATAATTATGGAAAACTAAGACATATTAAGGAAGCCAGCTTCAACAATGTAAACATTATGTATCTTATTAACATCTAATTAAAATGGGTAACTAATGAAAATGTAATAATTAATAAATTAATTAAAATATAACAGTTGATTAATATTAAAGTAGAAGGAAAATCAAATAAACTTGTGCAATTCACAAGTTTGGGAATACCTGGTTACATAGGAAAATCAAAACCTCTGAAAATTGGCATGATCTCCAGTTCATAGTAGGGAACAACACGTCTTTCTCAACTAGGACATGGCAGATTTAGTGGAAGTGTAAAATATCCACAAAGCTATCATGCTAATGTCCAGAAACAGAGATTTTGGCTTGACTTTCAGAGCTAACAACCTCTAGCAGAGCTGAGTCCCATCTCTGAGAAGGCTGTCAGGTGGTAGCAGATCTACAGGTAGGTAGACAGTATACTGTGCTGAGCTGCAAGTATTTGTTCAGATCAGATAATAATGAAGATTTCAACTCTAAGATCTTTATTTTTTGCCCTAATACCAACATTCAAATAAGATTCTGCTAAGTCTTTAAATAAAATCACGGCTTCTTATATACAATTCTAGGCACAGATAGATTCTCCTTCACAAACAAAACCTTTATACTTCGAAAAGTCAAAAGTACATGAGCTTTGGAGTCAGCCATGGATTTAAATCTTGATCCTGTAACATATTAAATGTAGTAAATTACTTAGCTTCTCTCAAAGTACAGTTTCTTCAACTCACATTGTTAGTAAAAGTTTTAAAAGACAGCAAATGTAAAATGCTGAGAACATATTAGTGAAATAATGCTTGCTATTTTCATTGTTATTTTGGTGAAGGAAAATTACATTTTTAAAAGATGTGTATTAAAATGAGGTATTGATTTTTTCCCTTTAAATAAGAAAATCAGAAAAAGAGTGGTCAGTTAGTTAGTAGTTTTAGCAAGCTGCCTGATTGCTAAATATGATGAGTTTTCAGTCCTAAGTCATTCAAGTATACTCTCACCAACATATGGTTATTGTCACTACCTGTTTAAGGTATTTCAAATATTTTGTATTCACTTCTACTTCACCCCAAAGCTTTCATAGGATTCTGAAGAATATTTGTCCTTAAGAATTAGGAAATCTTATTCTTTTTATGTTTAAATATGCCTAAAAGACACTAAAACCATCTCTTAGAATTTACCTGTTCGACCAAGCCCTGCATGACAATGGACAGCTACTTTTCCTTCCTGTAAGGCAAATGTCATCACCTTCACCATATCTAGGATGGTGGTAAGAGACGCGACACCATAATCCTTCCACCCGAAATTGTAGAAATAAACTAGGCAATGAAAAAGAGAAAGGAAAAAATAAATCAACATATAGGACAAATACTTGCAAAGACATTTGAAGAAAATGAGTGAATTCACGAAAAGTATAAAGACAAAGTGTGCAGATCTCATTGGATACACAGGCCTAAAACAATGAGCTTTTAACATTTCCAGTAAGTTTATTGTTAACATTTCCCCACAAAGCATGTTCTATATTACTTAAGACAGTTCCTGCTGAAACTAAGCTGGAACGAATTATGGAAAAGTAGAGTTACAAATTAATAAAGTCAATGATCCACACTAACATTATGCAGGTATTGAGGGAAAGCACACAGTTTTGTTTTAAGCTAATGGCTGATAAATGGCTAAAGACAGTATATACAAATTTTCTACCCAGTGGAAAAAGAAAAGCTAGATATAAGCTTCTTTAAAACAAGTTTCAAGATAGCATGAGTTTATGCTTTCCAGTATGGTTTGAAAAACACATGTTGAGCAGATTCCGTCCCAAAGCTCCTGTGACTGAGATTTTGGGATTGTCACAGAGGAAGCCTGGGCATCCTTCCAGAGGCAGGCCTGGGCAGCGGTAAAAGCATGAGTACCTCCAGGTTCCAACCCTGACTGCCATTTCTAAGCCGTGTGGCCTCATGCAAGTCAGTAACTCTTTAAGCTCCTATGGCCCTGTATGTAACACAGCAATTAACAACTGTGTTACACAGCTGCTTTAAGGATTAAATGACATAATAGTGTCTGGCACATGCAGGCAGTAACTGCATGTTAACCATTAAGACTATAAGGTCTTCTCTCAGAATCCCTCTCAGAAAAAAGAAACCCTGTACTTTTATTTGGTTATTTATTGTTATTATTACTATTTTTTTAATTTCAGGTTAATTGGAGGGTACAAAGAAATAGATTACCATGTTTGTATTTGTTAGGTATAGATCCTGTTGTAGTTGTGTCCCACCCCTAAGAGGCCCCAGGAGCCTTATACCCCCACATAGTGCCCATTAAGTGGGAGCACACCAATCCCCCTCCCTCCTTCTCTTTCTTCCCCCCCCCCGCCCTTCTTGAATTGAATTAAGTTTTTCTCTTGTGTGGATGTGTATTAGATCATCTACTAGCTTCATCTAGCTTCATATATTCATATTAACATTGAGTACCTTGGATACTTTTCTGTTTGGGTGATACTTTACTAAGAAGAAAACATTATTTAAAGTCAAAGTTAGCTCATTTCCACTTTTCACAGGTCTTACTACTAGGCAGGAAATGTTTACTTTCATCACCTTTCAACCTAAGAAACAAGCAAACAAAAGTCTCTGGGGCATTGTCTTTGATAATTCATGGAGAGGAGGGTGGGGATAAACTTACTGCCAGCCTCCATGAAAGCTTCAGGAAGGTATGTGAAGCCACTTTCTTGTTCCAGAGGGTTCCCACAGCTGGCATGCTCACCAGGGCGCTGCAGGTTGATTATTGTTTTTATGCCATGGCTTAAAGGAAAAGGAGCAATTAGTCATACTGGGAGTTAGTGTTTTAAAAAATTAACACTTAATGTGTATTAAGTGTTAGCATTAATAAACATTACAAATTACTCTCAAAACCTTTGATTTCTTATTTAAAAATAAGCTTTTCACTGCCTTCTGTTAAGAAGAAATTACTTTTTCACTTGATGACAAATGCAATGAAGAAAGAAAATGAGTTTGCTCAGTACAGTTTGTGACCAATATGGCATTTACCTGAGAAACTGTTCAATGATGTGGTACTTCTCAAGAAGCTCAGAGGATGGGCGGGCCATAGCCAGGATATTATCAGTGACCCTGTAGATATGGAAAGGGAGAAATGAGATACACAGAACCTAGAATGTTTCACCTTAAAGAAATGAGATATGATTTTTATCTATGATTTCATCAACTATGTAAGAATATTCTTAGACAACTCTGGTTTCAATTTTGCATCAAGATTAGAGCTCTAGGCTCGGCGCCTATAGCTCAACCGGCTAAGGTGCCAGCCACGTACACCTAAGGTGGCGGGTTCGAATCCCCAGCCCGGACCCGCCAAACAACAATGACAGCTGCAACCAAAAAATAGCCGGGCGTTGTGGCGGGCGCCTGTGGTCCCAGCTACTTGGGAGGCGGAGGCAGGAGACTCGCTTGAGCCCAGGAGTTGGAGGTTGCTGTGAGCTGTAATGCCACGGCACTCTACCTAGTGGGACTGTCTCAAAAAAAAAAAAAAAAAAAAAAGATTAGAGCTCTAAGAAACTCTACTTTTTAAAATCTCTGCAAAAAATCCAGGACATAAATTATTTCTGGACTCAACAAAGTATTTTCAAGGACTCTCAGGACATTCTAGTGGACATAGTGGAGAAAACTCAGTGGGTGGTGATGGTAACAGTCTTGATTAATTACTCAATGATTAGTTAGTAAATGGGGGAACCAACAGGGAGGCATCTTTTAGTTACTCAATTATCTGACCCTGTTCCTTAAGATGTTAAATGTGGATAATAATGCCTGCCTCATAGTATTGGTGTGACAATTCAATACAATGTGGGTGTAAAGTCTTTAGCATAAATCCTGGCATACAGTTATAAATAAATACTGAGTTATTATAATTTAGCAACAAATATGGATTCTGGAATCAGGATGGCCTAGTTTTAAACATTAGCTTTTCTACTTTTTGGTAGCGAGTTACTTAGTCTCTCTGAAACTTAATTCCTTGATCAATAAAATAGCATTAGCAACTCACAAAAGTTTTATGAAGATAAGAGATAATAATTTGAAAGCATCTAGCACAATGCCTGGCCTTTAGCCAAATGGATGTTTACCAAACGAATAAATGTACAGAGGTCCAATAAATGGCTGTCACTCTTGTCAGGCCTCTGAACACTGGCTGCACTCTATTCTGTTTAAATTTTTCAAAAAAAAAAAAAAAAAAGAAAAAAAAGAAAAAAAATTTCTCATCAGTGGCATGGTTACAGATATACGAGGTAGTCTATTGGAAGTTGTAGGTAACATGAATCTTAGAGGAATAACAAGAGATATTAAATTAGCAGGGCAGGATTCAAAAAGCACCTCCCCCTCTGGAACAAAGCATGAAATTTAACATAATTTCCAAAGGTTTAGGACCCCTAAATTTAATGATACTTAGTATATCATGAGGGATGATGTGACAGGAAAGCAGGAGAGGTAAAAAAGATGCAAATTCTTTCGTCAACAATAAAACAAAAATATTAATGTGACATTACACTAATGAGAAATTTTCTTGTCTGTATCTCAGGAATGATCTTTGCTTCTTCAGACCACTAGCGTGACAATGCTAGATCAGAATATGATCTGTGGAGAACAATAATGACAGTGGACCTCAGATTGTATCACTACAGATATACCCAGCAAATCCAATATGAAAAAGTATACGTTGTAAGTTAGACAGACTAATAAATATCTAATTAAAGGTGGGTTCATTGCCAGAATTCTTTAAATAGCAAACTCCTTTAAGTGTGTTTCAAATGTTGATCTTATTAATTAACATAACTTTTCAGAAGTCACTACATCAAAATAGATATACTTGACTAGATAAAAAGAAGTTAGGATTCAAGAATATTATGGCACTTACGTTCCATAAAAAAGCAAGCATCTATGTTGTCTACTGAGCTATGAACTTGAAAAACTTTTATTAAGGCAGATTGAAGTGTGTTTGTGTAAACGTCTGTCTTTTCATACAGAATAAAGGAAAGCATGAAACTGAAAAACCACATAGGTATCTCATTCTCATACTTTTCTTAAACTTACAGCTGAACATTTTTATTATTTCTAGCAATTTCTGAAACTTGAGTTATCTACACATTTTTTTAAAAAATAATTTACACATATCATTTCACTTAGTTTTAAAAAATCCTATGGTTTTGGTCTTATTTCTGTTTTAAAGATGGAGAAACTGAGGTTCAAGAGGCTACGATCACACAGCTGGTCTAGGGCAAAGCCAGACCTGACTAGCAAGGTAAGGTCCTGACTTCAAAGCCTTCCACAGCCCCTTTCACATGCATGTTCCCCACTCACGGGCAGCCTCCTTCTTTTATCTCATAGAGCTATGTAAAAATGATTGGACTACTCACCAGGATGAGTAAACCCCCTTAATGGCTTGTTCCTCCTCACTCCAGCGGGTTGGGTTCTCATACTTGCATGCTCTACCACCACATGCCATGGAACATGCCATATGTCCAGGAATGACATGCCGCAAACGCTCTCCTACTTTTGTGTACTTTGGAGTCGGACGTTCTGAATTCTCTAGAACATACAAGGAAGGGAAGATTCACAATTCCACTCTCCATATGAAACAGCAACATGGAAAACAGCTTCCATTTTATCTCAGGATGGCCAATGACGAGCCAGTGCTAAATCCCCTTCAGCTTGTCAAGAAAACAAAACCATTTCCTTTTCATCTAAGTGCACTATCTCTTAATATTAAAAAAGCTTTCAGATATAATAATTTCCCCACAGGTGAGTAACAAGAGGAAGAAACTGTAAAGAGAGATCTTTTACAAGGGGATGAGTTTATTCAAAACTACATTTTCATTTAAAAAAACACACAAAGCATTCCATCATTTTATCTCCTCTTACATATCCTCTAAAATACTTACCAAATAGACAGTAAAAAAGTATAATGTAGAATTTATTGCCAACATATTAAAAAGTATAAACACAACACAGTATAGTCACATTTCTTAAATTTAGATACAGAAGAGTGGCTATCTATAAAAAGAAAGAGAGGTTTACTTTTCCTCTTGGGGAAAGTTGGGTTTCCCTCGGCCTGGCTGACTGAAGACACTGCCATCATCACCTGGAGAGAGGACGAGGATAACAGCTTCGTGGCAGAGCTGGAGCCAGAGCCACGCCGGGCCTGCTGCAGCCGCAGGACCACATCAGAGGTAGAATGCCGGCGGCCCTGGAGAAAGGAGCTGAGGAAGTACATGGCGGAGGGCCGCCGGGGTGTATCCTGTACCTGCATGGCACTCAGCTCCAGGAAGGCAAGAGCTGGAGGCAGGGAGAAGTCAGCACCAGCTTACTCAGTGAGGAAGTTACGCCGAGACTCAAGCATCATTCTGTATGATCTAAGAGCCATTCAGGATAGGCTGACTGGTTTCCATAGAGACAAACAAAGAAACTACTGATTCCCACTTAGATCTGAACAGGAAAAATCTTATATGAAGGGATTGTGTTGGGGACAAATTGTTCAAATGTAGGGATGAATAATATGCATTTTAAACAGAAAATTCCTAAATCAAGACTATTCTGTTTCTCAAACACACTTAACAGATCTGACCAAAGAATCACCACCACAACAATATTGTAATGAATTTAGGAAAACGTCTTCATGATGTAAACACATATATTAAAAGGTTTAAATTATGTTATTCCTTTCACATCTATTCTCTGGATATTTTAGGAAAAAAATTCTCTGTCTGCTCCTCTCTGGAACAGGGTAAAAAGTGAACTGTAATAAAGTGGGATATGTGGGACACCTAACAACATTATTAAAATATTTCATTTTCCTAACCAACCAGCTGTATATTTTCTTCATAGAAAATATACACTTGGGCAGAACAAATAACTATATTTTCAGAACTGATATATTATCAGAAGACATTTAATTTCATATTTTTAGTTTCATAATGTGAAAACCTGCTTCTTGGTTATGCCTCTACTGGATAGTTACAGTAGCCAGGCCTCTCAAAGACTCAAAAACACTGTTCTCTGCTTTTTGTTGCGGGGGTTGGGGGGTTGGGGAAGAAGCTTCAATGATGTCCTGGCAGTGGGATATAATGAAAATTCACCAAGTATCACATCTTTTCAAGGAACTGGATGAGGGGGAGGTTGCAACTTGAGGATAAAGGATATAAAGAAAACAGAAAGTCCAACAACCGCCAATGCGCTCATTGTCCGCCTCCTCCCTTATTAGTGTCAGGCTGCGCCTGCGCTGTCTCTGCACAAACAGTATTTCAGTTGTGCGAGCAAGGAAGCAAAACTACTGTAGTGCCACAGATAAGGCTTTTTTCTGTTTTGTTTTAACGAATATACTAACCAAGCTCCTTTGAAAATGTTACCCACACCTCCCCAACAATATGTATGCACTTTTGTCAAATACGACAGGGACACAGACTCCCAATTTGTTTCCCTAATTTTTATACCATTTGTAGTATCAAGCCTTTGTTATTTAGAATGCAGAAAGGAAAAACCTTTTTACTGGCTCAGCACCTGTAGCTCAAGCAGCTAGGGTGACACCCACATACACGGGAGCTGGCGGGTTTGAACCCAGCCCGGGCCTGCCAAACAACAATGACAACTACAACCAAAAAATAGCCGGGCATTGTGGCAGGCGCCTGTAGTCCTAGTTACTTGGGAGGCTGAGATAAGAGAACTGCTTAAGGCCAAGAGTTTGAGGTTGCTGTGAGCTGTGATGTCATAGCACTGTACCCAGGGCAACATCTTGAGACTGTCTCAAAAAATAAAATTTAAAAAAAAAAAAGAAAAACCTTTTTACTGTCACCAATCCAGGAAGCACAGCTTTCCTGTTGGAAGAATAGTCTGAGGAATATTTAGGCAAGGCCCTTAGGTCCCTCGGGGCAACATGGGAACAGCAGTGAAAGAGATTTCACTTTCATAAAGGAAACTGAACTTGATGGCAAGAGGCCCTAAATACTCAAACTAAGGAGTTGTGCATTTGCAGTCTGAGTAACTGGGAATTTGAGAAGGTTTCTGGGCAAGTCTCTGTGCTTCCAAGTGGGTGGCATATTAACACAGTTCTGGAGAGGCAAGACCATGCAGTAATCCGCAGATGGGGATGGCCAGCAGTCACATACATGGAGGTACACTGCCATGGTGCTGGAGAACTGGGAGCTGGAGGTGATGCCCTGGTTCCAGCTTCAGTGAGTGGTGAGATATTGCAGATAGTCAACACAGGAGTCCATAGCAAGCTCCAGTGTTTAAGGCAGCAACTGGGAGGTTCTAGTCATTAAGCGATGCCTGGAGAAATGGTATTTAAGGATATCTACAGAAGAAAGTCAAAAGTGACTCTGCTTTCAACTATACTGAAAATGAAAATGAATTTCATTAGATAAGGGGGAAATGTACCTCAGCCCCTACCCAACACTCTAGACTGGTTCCTTTCTTGTCTCTGCCCACATATATATGGCTTTTCTGCTTATTTGTAATCATAATGCAAACACATTTTTTCCCATTTGGCTTTTGTCTTCTCACAATTTTCATTTAATGGAAGCACAATGATTAGGACACATCAATATGATGCATTATATTTCACCTTATCAGGATATTTAAGTTGTTATTATTTTCATTTAAAAATAAGACAATAAATATTTTTAAGACTAGAACCTTCTCATATCCATGTTTCTCCTTCAATAAATTCCGAAGAATGATATGACTGGTGACCAAAATTAGTTTTCAAAGCTCATGTTTTTGGTGGCACCTGTCACTCTAAGGAGTAGGGCACCGGCCCCATATGCTGGAGGTGGTGGGTTCAAACCCAGCCCTGGCCAAAAACTGCAAAAAAAAAAAAAAAAGCTAATGTTTTTTAGTTGAGTCTACATGTCTTAAGAACCAAGTATGAAGAAGCTGAAAGAATGAACATTTTTTAGCAACTCACTGAATGTTTTTTTCCTGAGGTAAAAGAGAAATACAGCATTAAAATAAAAATAAAGGAGACATCATCTAAGTTTTTCAGCCAAATTCAGCATTAAAATAAAAATAAAGAAGATATCATCTCAGATAAGTTTTTCAGATTTACTCCAGAAATCTCACTATCTCCATCACCTGTAGCCTTGTAAACACACATTTCTATTCACAGCATGTCGCCAAATACAATCATGCAAACAACTTCAAAGGGACTATTTTCTAATTCTTGACTTGAATAAACAATGTTATACCAAATTGGTCTCTCTTTTTATACTCTTTTCAAAATACTTTTTAATTTGTTAATTTTGTGAGCCAATTTAGGTTACATATTCTACACTGTGGCTTCACACATCTGTAAGAAAGCATAATTCAACCACTTATAAACCAATTAAAGATTTAAATTAGGATGAATTATAAACTGCTAATGATGAATTGTTCAGTCTCTTAGAAATAACATTTGATTATTTATTTAAAATAACCTATAGAAAAAAACAGAAGGCTTGCCTTTAGAAAAAAACAGGAGCAGCAAGACTATTTTAACTTCCATTTCATGTTTTCTGTGAAATGGAAAGTTTTAGAATGAGACTAATTTTATGAAGGACCACACTTTCAACAGACACTCAAAAAGTAAAGAGTTTTCTCTGTGGAGGCCGCAGAGTGTACTCAGAACTTCACTGACTTAAACTGTGTTCACCTTTGGGTTCTCCTTCCTCCACAATTGTAACTTATTTGTCAGTCACAAGAACCAACACTACTGTTGTTTTCCCGCTTACCTGCTAACAACTGATTCCTTGTTTCCTCCCACGACAATGTGTTTTCTAAATACATAAGAAAAAATTTCAGTTTTCTCTATTTCATAAGCATATCACAGGGACCATACCTCTTACTGTCTTGCTCTTCTCCTCACTTCCAAATATGCTATCTCTGGGGAAAAAAAAGTATGCTCCAGGAAAAATTACTTAAATAATACAAAAGGTAAAATACATGACTAATCCTGTACTCCTCCAGGCTCCTGGAATCATCATTACCTACATGAGAGGCTTTTCTTGAATTGGAAGTATAATGGGTACTGTGCTTAAGAGTCTCCAAATCATAACACTTTTGTGGCCACTAGACTATTTGCTGATGGGCAATCAGACAGAATCAAATTTAGAATAATACTTACGGAAACTAATGAGATATTGGTCATGACAAATGTGAAATTAACCACACTTTTGATAAGCACAGTAAACAACAAAGAAACCCACTAAAAGTATAAAAGATTACTCACTTTTTCCTCTTTAATTTCTACAAGTGGGTAGTTAAAATACTGAAAAGCCTACGCAGATTCTGAAACACCAAGAACCGCAATTTCCTTCTATACTCAAGAAAGGGCTTCATTACTTATTTAAACAAACCTGTATAACAACAGACCAAGAATGCAGTGGGTGCCCAGTGGGAGTGGGAGGCCCAACTATCTGCATTCTTAAGTCTGTAGGAGTTGCTTCCAGGAGTTTCCTGCATAGTTGACTTTCCAGCCTCCTGTTATTCACTTTTTGTGATGGAAGGTTTACTTCTCACAAGGCAACTGACTATTCAACTGTTAGCTCAAAATGTTTTCGTTTTCTTTTTTTTCTCCTTTTCCCCTCTCTCCTCCCCTCCCTCTCATTTGTTCTCTTTCTTTGTTCTTTTCTTTCCCCTGTCCTCCCCTCCCCTTCCCTTCCTTCTTTCTTGTCTTGCTTGCTTGCCTGCCAGGTCTAATTCAGTTACCTAGGTTGGAGTACAGTGGTTCAATCATAGCTCGCAGCAACCTCAAACTCCTGAAAGGATCAAGTGATCCTCCTGCCTCAGCCTCCTGAGTAGCTGGGACTACAGGTGTGTCACAACCATGCCCACCCTCAAAATGTTTCTAATGTTGAGTCAAAATCAATTTTTCTATAAACATTGGTTCTAGTTCTTCCCTCTGAAAATTAAAAATAACCATCTTTTTGACTTGCAGATTTTTAAAGACCGACTTCTCCAAAACTTTTCCTCTTTGTACTAATCTCAGTGTTTCAAACATTCAAACATTTCAAATATGTCATTATTTTTTTACCTTTTACCATTATTCCTCTCCTTCTATGGGTGATTCTTTTCTCTTCTTCACAGTTAAACTTCTAGACAAAGGTGACTGCATTGTGTTGTCTCCACTTGTCAACTGTCTCATCCTCAGCCCACTCAACTCTGGTCTTTAGTAATGACCTGTTTCAAGGTGATCTCTCTATAGTTCTCATCTACTTTGAGAGCTCAGCAGGCAACACAGTTGAAAACTTTGGATTAATTTTTAAATATTTTTGAGAGGACTTTATTTTTTACTGGAATCACTCTCAAACTTAGAGAAAAGTTGCTAGTACAGAG